AATCAGCCAATCACATGGCAGCAACTCAATGCATTTAGGCATCTAGACGTGGTGAAGATGACTTGCTAAAGTTCAAACCGAGCATCAGAATGGGGAAGAAAGAGGATTTATGTGACTTTGAACATGGCATGGTTGTTGGTGCCAGACGGGCTGCTCTGAGTATTTCAAAAACTTCTGATCCAATGGGATTTTCATGCACAACCATCTCTTGGGTTTACAGAGAATGGTCCCAAAAAAAGCAGCAGTTGTGTGGATGAAAATGCCATATTCATGTCAGAAATCAGAGGAGAATGGGCAGAAAGGCACCAGTAACTCATGTCAATATGGACCAAAATATCTGTGGAATGTTTCCAACACCTTGTTGAATCTATGCCATGAAGAATTAAGGCTGTTCTGAAAAGAGGGTCAAACCCGGTACTAGCAAGGTGAACCTAATAAAGTGGCCGGTGAGTGTATATTTAACACACAATTGCCTCTCTGAGCATGCAGGTAGGTTTTAAAAGTAGTACTCCTTGCAACAGGAAAAATAGAGGTTCAGTCTTCACCTACCAAAAGGAATATTTCCTCTAAGAGCTGAAAAAATGTGGAACGGTTAACTACAGGTGTTAAAGGGATATTAAAGGCGATTAAAAAAAGGGCAGGGGTAGGCAACCTTTGAGAAATAAAGATCTACATGATCAACATGGAGAAAGTCACAGATCACCACGGTGTGTCATCTTTGTGTTTTTATTTTTAGGGAGGCATCAATACAAAATAAGGACGATACAAAGAAAATATCCTGGTTTGAGTTCTGGCTGCATTGGCTGGTTTGAGTTCTGGCTGCATTGGCTGGTTTGAGTTCTGACTTCCTTTGCTGGTTTGAGTTCTGGCTGCATTGGCTGGTTTAAGTTCTGACTTCCTTGGTTGATTTGAGTTCTGACTTCATTGGCTGGTTTGAGTTCTGGCTGCATTGGCTGGTTTGAGTTCTGGCTTCCTTGGCTGGTTTGAGTTCTGGCTGCATTGGCTGGTTTGAGTTCTGGCTGCATTGGCTGGTTTGAGTTCTGACTTCATTGGCTGGTTTGAGTTCTGGCTGCATTGGCTGGTTTGAGTTCTGGCTTCCTTGGCTGGTTTGAGTTCTGGCTGCATTGGCTGGTTTGAGTTCTGGCTGCATTGGCTGGTTTGAGTTCTGGCTGTATTGGCTGGTTTGAGTTCTGGCTGTATTGGCTGGTTTGAGTTCTGGCTTCTTTGGCTGGTTTGAGTTCTGTCGCATTGGCTGGTTTGAGTTCTGGCTGCATTGGCTGGTTTGAGTTCTGACTTCATTGGCTGGTTTGAGTTCTGGTTGCATTGGCTGGTTTGAGTTCTGGCTTCATTAGCTGGTTTGAGTTCTGGTTGCATTGGCTGGTTTGAGTTCTGGCTTCATTGGCTGGTTTGAGTTCTGGCTTCATTGGCTGATTTGAGTTCTGCTACATTGGCTGGTTTGAGTTCTGACTTCATTGGCTGGTTTGAGTTCTGGCTGCATTGGCTGATTTGAGTTCTGGCTTCATTGACTGGTTTGAGTTCTGGCTTCATTGGCTGGTTTGAGTTCTGGCTTCATTGGGTGGTTTGAGTTCTGGTTGCATTGGCTGGTTTGAGTTCTGGCTTCATTGGCTGGTTTGAGCTCTGGCTTCATTGGCTGGTTTGAATTATTATTATTATTACATCGAGTTTATATAGCGCCAAAGGGTTTGCTCAGCGCTGTACAATATAGGGGGGACAATACATGGCACAGTACAACAATAACAAACAACGTACGAGGGGTAAGAGGGCCCTACTTTTTCAAGCTTACAATCTAGGAGGGAGGGGGTAATGGTACAGTAGGAAGTGGCTGAGGGGAATGAGGGGGTGGTAAGAAAGAGGGAGAATGGCCGTTAGGTGAGGGTGGGGTAGGCTTCCCTGAAGAGATGGGTTTTGAGGGAGCGCCTGAATGTGAGGAGGGAAGGCGACAGTCTGATGGATTGGGGCAGTGAGTTCCAGAGGATGGGGGAGGACCTGGAGAAGTGTTGCAGTCGTGCATGGGAGGAGGAGACCAGGGAGCAGGATAGAAGAAGGTCCAGTGAGGAGCGAAGGGTACGGGTAGGGCGGTACTTGGGGATCAGGTTGGTGAGGTAGTCAGGGGCAGTGTTGTGAACGGCTTTGTAGGTCAGGGTTAGAAGTTTAAATTTGATGCGTTGGGCAATCGGGAGCCAGTGGAGGGAGAGGCAGAGGGGGGTGGCAGAGGTGGAGGGGGTGGTGAGGTGGATGAGTCTAGCTGCTGAGTTCAGGATGGTCTGGAGCGGGGAGAGCCTGCACTTGGGTAGGCCGGTGAGAAGAGAATTGCAGTAATCAAGGCGTGAGATGATGAGGGAGTGTACTAGAAGTTTGGTGGTGTCAGGGGTGAGGAAGGCACGTATCTTGGCAATGTTGCGGAGGTGGAGCCTGCATGTGTTTGTAAGTGATTTGACATGCGGTTGGAAGGAGAGGTTTGAGTCAAGAATGACGCCAAGGACTTTGGCTTGCGGGGCGGGAATGATAGTTGAGTTGGTGATGATGGATAGGATGGGGGGGGGGGGGGTGGGCAGGGGGGAAAGACGAGGAGCTCAGTTTTGGAGAGGTTGAGCTTGAGGAAATGTAGCGACATCCAGTCTGAGATGTTGTTTAGGAGGTGAGTGATGCGGGCGGAGATAGTGGGGGTGAGGAGAGGGGTGGAGAGGTAGATTTGGGTGTCGTCAGTATAGAGGTGATAGTTGAAGCCGTGGGAGTGTATGAGTTTGCCCAGGGAGGAGGTGTAGATGGAGAAGAGAAGAGGTCAAAGGACAGATCCTTGGGGGACCCCAACAGAGAGGGGGAGGGAGGGGGAGGTGGCACTATTGTAGGTGACGCTGAAGAAGCGTTGGGATAGGTAGGATGAGAACCAAGAGAGAGCGGTATCTCTGATGCCAAGGGAGAGTAGTTTATTAAGGAGGAGGGGGTGGTCAACTGTGTCGAAGGCCCGTGGAGAGGTCCAGGAGAAGGAGGACAGAGTAGTCGCCCTTGGCTTTGGCGTTTAGTAGGTCGTTAGTGATTTTGAGGAGGGCAGTTTCAGTGGAGTGTAGGGGACGGAAGCCGGACTGTAGTGGGTCAAGGAGGTTCTGACTTCATTGGCTGGTTTGAGTTCTGGCTGCATTGGCTAGTTTGAGTTCTGGCTTCATTGGCTGGTTTGAGTTCTGGCCTGGGTTTCTTTGTGGCTGTCTGGGCTAAGTTCTGGTGTGGATGGTTTGAATTCTGGTCTCGATGGCTGGTTTGGGTTGGGCGAAAGGGCAGGAGTTAGGAATAAGTAACACAGAGTTCAGATGACAGTAGTGTATATAATGAAGAGTTCAAGGGTCAAAAGTAGGTAACACTGAATTCAGAGGTCAATAGTTTACAATGCAGAAGTTGATAGTATTGTATGTAGAGCAAAGTACAGGGACCCGTAGTTTGTAGGTCAGAGTACAAGGGTCGGTAAGTATTTAGGGCAGTGTAAAAGTGTCAGTAATAGGGGGGGCAGAGTAAAGGGGTCAGTAGTTGACAGGACAGAGTATGATGTCCCCCCATATGCAGCTGTATAGCATGGATGGAAGAATCTATTAGAGTCCAAACAAGAAAATCTAATTGCTCATGGCCAGCTTTCGGCACAATCCTTTGATTTCAGCTCCACTTTAAAAGGGAATCCTACACCATCCACGGCCCTCTTGTAAGCTGCAGCTAAATCCAGTGTCATGGGGACCTCAGCTAAAGCATGATTGAGTATGTTTATTTTCCTTTTTGTATAATCCACCAAGTCCTCCCTGTGCTGGATCATTGTAACTGGCAATGAGATTTGGGAACACCTGCTGTGAGGCCACTTTTCAGTGTTTCCTTCTATCTCCTCATCTCCAGTTAAAGAATTGGCCATGCATTCCTTCCGCCAAATTGGCAAGCAGTTGCTAAAGTTAATCAACCCCGTGCAAGGTCAGGCTTACAACTCAGTCTGCATTCAGAGCAAATACAGCTAATTCTTTAGCACAAGGCAAGCTGTTTTTTTTTTTCATTTTTTCATACACAATTATGAACATTTTACATACATTTTCAAAGCAAGATTGACATGATTAGTGACAGCATACAAGTCAAGGTATACACAGGAATTTGTCATCAAGAAAAAGTGTTTGTTTGTTTGTTTGTTTTAGGGTACACACACACAGATGTTCGCAGTCACAAATGTCCTATAGCATACATTTTGGATCAGGGAATATGTCATATGCGCATGCGTGGGTAAAGCCTGATGCAAAAAAGTGCCAGCACATGAGTGCAAGCGCATACAGCCATTTATTTCCAAGGCCGGCTTTACATGTACCACCCCCGGGCAGGGCTGCCACTAGAACTCATGGGTACCGTATAGCTTACCAGACAGTGCTCTCCACCAGGGGCGGACTGACCATTCGAACACTCGAGCACTGCCCAAGGGCCCAGGGTCAGTAGGGGGCCCCATGAAATGCCCCTGGTACCTTTTATAGGCTTTTTTGGGTGTGCTTTGAGTGTGGGAAAGGACACAGGGGCCCCATGATCCCCTATTGCCCGGGGGCCCCATGAATTGTCAGTCCACCCCTGCCCTCCACCCACCTGATGGGACCCCATACATCCCACCTGTAAAAGACCCAAATACCATTAGTTAGCAGGGTCCCCTGACAGGACAGAGCACTTTAAAACTTATCGGACAAAGCACCCAAACCGCTTCTACCAGATAGAACCCCTCAACACTCCCTTCCTACCCGACAGTGTTCACCCAACTACCCTATACCAGTGCGCCCTACTTGCCAACCCAATGGGACCGGGCCCTGTACAGTAGTACTGCTTGTACCCCCTTATCAGCAGGGGTGTACAGCCATTTACTTCCATGGCTGACTGTACACCCCACTGGTGACTCCCTGGTTGTGGGAAAATGCTGAATTTTTTCATGCTAGGCATATTTAATGCCTAAAGATGTTCATGTCCAGGGGCGGACTGACCATTTAAAGGGCCTGGGGTCAGTAGGGGGCCCCATGAGATGCCCCTGGCACCTTTTTCATAGGCTTTTTTGAGTTTGGGGTAAGGACACAGGGGCCCCATGATCCCCTATTGCCCGGGGGCCCCATGAGTTGTCAGTCCACCCCTGTTCATGTCTAAATCGCATGCGGTTTCTTCGCGGCTCCTGTGTGAACCCAGGCTTGCGGGAAATTTCCCTGCACCAACCCTATGCTGTCACACAAGCCGCTTCATAAGGCTGGGGATTTGAAATCCCGGCAGATTCCTCTTCTTCTCTCCTTGAGAGTACGGGCTAGACAGCTTCTGATTGGTCAGCACTGTGAACATTCCTGTTCAAATTGCATGCTATTCTTTGTGGTGCGATCTATGTCCATACATTTTGTATGAACGCAAATCACATCGCAAAGTGTTGGTTTCTGGTATTGGGAACATATTCACAAGTACTTAGGAAAATACTCGGTATTGGCACTGATACTGGTGTTGATATTGGTGCATCCCTAGTAGTATCATTGACCACATTTTATTAGATCTTTTTAAAAAGTGCAAAAAAAGTATCTTGATCCTTCCCGAAATCCAACCAGCTGATAACTTCCTGTGCTTTTTGTCTGTGCTGACTGTTGTCAGTTAGCATTCTTATAACTCCCCTTATGTTATTGAGAAAAGAAGAGAGGGATGTTCTGTTGTCTTGTTCTAGGATGACAACGTTTCTTCCCTATAGCAACAGAGAGTGAGTGTTGTCATCCTAGGACAGGAAGTGTGTTATTGTCTCCTAGATTGTAAGCTTGAAAGAGCAGGGCCCTCGATCCCCTCATGTTTTGCATTGTATTGTATTGTTCTGTCACATGTTCTGTCCCCCTTTGTAATGTACACCTGAGCGAACTATTGGCGCATTTAAATACAATAATAATAATAAAACAGGATGTGAAAAAAGAAAAAAGTGTGAAAGTTAAAACCAGGGGCGGACTGACCATTCGAGCACTCTGGCACTGCCCGAGGGCCCGGGGTCAGTAGGGGGCCCCATGAAATGCCCCTGCTACCTTTTTTTATAGGCTTTTTTGAGTGTGGGCAAGGACACAGGGGCCCCATGATCCCCTATTGCCCGGGAGCCCCATGAGTTGTCAGTCTGCCCCTGGTTAAAACCAATGCAGCCACTTTAGCTACACTTAAGTCCTCATGCACACGGGATGTTTTTACAGCGGCTGTTTTTGGCTTTTGACGATTTTTTCTACAGCCAGTAAACCCCCCCAGCATGTTATCCTGTGTCCATGCACACATAGGCTGTAATCAATGTTTTTTGGCTGGGGCGTTCTTTGGCTTGAAAAAAAAAAACAGAACGAGTGGGTTTCAAGAGTTTTTTTAGCTGTAAAAATGCTCCAACGCTGAAAAACGCAGTAAAACGCAGCAAACCAATGTTTTTGTGACTTTTTTTGGGGGGGGGGGGGTAAATTTTTTTGGGGGGTCAAAAAATGCTAAAACGCTAAAAACTGCAAACATGGCAAAACGCTGCTGAACGCTAATGCAAAAATGCTAAAAAAAGCTGAAATACGTTTTTAACGTGCCTTTACACAGCTAATGTTACCAGTGTTATCAAAATGTTCCGTGTGCATGAGGACTCAAAACGAATGCAGCCACTTTAGCTACACTATATGGATCAGACCAAAATGAGGGACTAATGAGGAGGAATGAGGGATTTCGAGGGACAGTCCCTGGAAATCAGGGACAGTTGGGAGTTATAGAGCTGGGAGACCACACTATGCTGGAGGAGCCCTTTCTTTTGAGGGACTCTGGTATTACTAATGTAGCATTACCCCACAGGGGCCACTGGATGATACTTGTCCCCAATGGTTGCCCTGACCTTGGAAGCCTCCCAACACCTCTGACATTTTGCGTTCAGACATAGTTCACCAGTATGAAATAATAATGCAAGAGACACAACTTTTTAATAACACCTCTATATTAGACTTATTTAAAAGAGTAGGCCACAAAATGAAGGTCTTGGGGAAAGGGGGAGGGTACAACCCCAGTTAGTGCTCAAAAGCATAACACTGATGAAATAATAAAAAAAAGGAGGAGGAAGAGAAGCCTTGTTGACTTATCAGCTTCCTCTGGGCCACCGGTGTCACAATGGGGAATGCAAAGAATTATGTAAAGATATATACTCTGGCATAAATAGGTATAAATACCTTAATTTGAATAACAATGGCTTAGATGCAAAGGAGTCCCTTTAACTAGAAATTGCGACTTGAGTTCTGAGATGTTTAAAGTTCCTGATGTGATAGCAGCAGTTGTCTTCTGCTAGCAATGGTGGGGCCCATATACAGTAATGAGTACTGGAAATGCAGAGACGATAACATATAATCTGTGGTACTACTGAAAGCAAAGTTCTCCTGATACTGGGGTGTAAAGGTGCAGGGTCTCTAAAGTGTTGTCAGAAAGAGGTTGGGCTCACCAATCCCATGGATAGCACGGCTTCCTAAGAACAAGGTTTTTGCACAGGCTCTTGGGAGTTTGCAGAGAAGTGCAAAGTTACAGCTTGATAGTCTGTTGGTGCAGCAGGTAGAGATGACTGGCTGCAGGCCGGATAGTAACAGTTACAATGCAGAGAAGCTAATATGACCTGGATGTGGTGATTGGCGTCACCGCTGGGCTTGTGTGCAGAGTCTTGCAGTAGTAGCCAGCAACATGTTGCTGGAAGAGAACAGAACTCCCCCTGTGTTCCGCTCTGAAACCCACAGCAAGAGAACGATGTGAGGCTCTGGATCATCTAACCTTCAAATAGAACATGTTTTACTTCTCTAAGGCTGAGAGTCACACTCCTTGCGGTAAGTGCATATATGTGCCTTGGTGGAAGAAGCACTTGGGTGTCTGACGTGTTGAAGAGCACCATCTTTTAGAGAGGACTACACAACGGTGGATAAAGTTTTTTTTTGCATGGACACTGAATTTATGTTGGACTTTCATTTAAAATTGTTCACTTTATTAGCACGGCATATGCTTTTGACTCTTTTGTAAATGTAGGGTATACCCTGTACTTTTTATGTGCTGCTGCTCTTTCTTTCATGTTCTTTGTTTATTGTAATAATAATTGCTTCCCGACCACCGCACATAGGTGTGCTGCGGAAGAGCAGTTCTCCTGCACTGGATCACAGCACAAGCTGATCAGCGGGTCCCGGCTAATGATTGGCAACTGGGACCCGCTGATCGGTGAAGAGAATGACAGGACAGACCTCTGTGAATGTAAACAACACAGCTCTGTCCTGTCAGCGGGGATGAGCCGTTTTTTTTGTTTCCCTGCAAAGCAGGGAATAAAAACTGGCACATCCCTTAGTAAAAGCAGCACACAGTGAATGCACCAAGCACTGTTAGGTACAAGTTAACCCTGTGTTAACCCCTTCACAGCCAGTGTCATTAACATAGTATCAGTATATATTAGTAGCACTGATCATTCTATTAGCTTCACTGGTTTCCTCAAAGTGTCAAAAGTGTCAGCTAGTGTCTAATTGTCCACCATATTATCACAGTCCCGCAATGAGTCACTAATCATTGCCATTACTAGTATTAAAAAAAAACAGAATTCCAGTATACATACCATAATTTGCAGATGCTATATTATTATTATTATTATTATTATTATACAGTATTTATAAAGCGCCAATAGTTCGCTCAGCTCTGTACATTACAAAGGGGGACAGAACATGTGACAGAACAATACCAATACAATGCAAAACATGAGGGGATCGAGGGCCCTGCTCTTTCGAGCTTACAATCTAGGAGGATAACTTTCATGCAGACCAATCAGTATACACTTATTGGGATTTTTTTTTTTCTTTAAATGTATAGCAGAATACATTTAGGCCCTAAATTTATGAAGAAATTTTTTTTCTTTTGATGTTTTATAGTAGAAAATGAAAAATATTGGGATTTTTTTTTCTAAATTTTTGATCTTTTTTTCTTTATATAAAGAAAAATAAAAAACCCAGCGGTGATCAAATACTACCAAACAAAAGCTCTATTTGTGTGAAAAAAATGATATAAATGTAATTTGGATAAAGCTCTGCATGACCGTGCAATTGTCAGTTAAATTAATTCAGTGCCAAATAGAAAAAAATGGCCTGGTCAGGAAGGGGATAAAAATATTTCGGAGAGCAAGTGGGTAATAATAGGGCTGTACCAAAAGTAATGCAAAAGTGGACAAAACTTTTTTATTAACTTACTTGCATACAGCAGGTTGTTAAAATGTTGCAGTTTGGCAGAGTAACTTTTTCTCTATAGTAAATCTGCTTCTTTTTCTTTGCAAGTATATAATGGATTCCAAGCAGAAGCAATGTGCTGTCATTGAGTTCTTGATGAAGGAGGGGTGCAAGCTGTCCTACATCCAAAGAAGGCTACAGAATGTTAACGGAGATGACACCATTGGCCAGAGCAATGTCTTGTCATTGGTGATTCTTGTCAATGGTGGCAATTCCATAAACATTCTGTTGCCTTCTGTGGATGTCGGATAGCCTGCACCCCTCCTTCATCAAGAACTCAATGATGGCATGCTTCTTCTGCTTGGAATCCATTATTTACCTGCAATGAAGAAGAAGAGTTACTATGGAGGAAGAGTTACTCTACCAACCTGTGAAATTTGAATGACCTATGTAAATTAACAAAAAAGTCATGTCCACCTCTGCATTACAGGTCTTGTAAGAAGAACATGAAGGCTGTTTTAAAGTGGCTTTCAAAGAAAGAAGGAAGCATGGTGGAAATCCTGGAGGCTTCCATTTAGAAAAGGCTCAGATGAATAATAAAAAAAAAAAACTCCCCTTGGCTTTCTTGTAACCTTTAAACTTCTCATCCATGACTTTTTGCCTCCAGTAAAGTGCTCTGTTCTGTTTAGAGCTTTCAGATTCTTTGCATTCTCCTTCTAAACATCGTCTGGTTCCAGGACAACCCTGAGGGGGAAATGAAACTGATGAAAACCGTTCAGCTCCAACCCAGAACGGGTTTTACAGTACCGGTGAAATGAATGCGCCCCTCTCGCATCGCTGGCATTTACCACACGTGAGCGTTGCCTCGTTTTACGCTTGTGTGAGAGGTCAAAGTTGGAGAAGTTTATTGTGGTGTCTGC